CCGGCTGGCGAGGCTCCCAGGCCGGCCCGGCGCCACCGACGCCATTTTATCGCCCAACCGCTCCTCCTCCTCCTGCGGCCGCGGCCGCTTCTCCCCCCCCCCACCTCAACAGCCGCGCTTGACGGTTCCCTCCGCCAGCGCCGCTTTGCGACACTTCCGGCGCTCAAAGGAGCGAGGGGGCAAGAGGGAAACAAAGTATCAGGGACACTTCCGGTCCCTCGCAGGGGAAGCGGGTACCACCGAGACGCCCGGCCAGAGCGGCCCTCGCCTCCTAGTCCTCCAGAACGTTTTTTCTCTAGAGAGGTTATCTTCTCTTGCTCACTGAACACTTCCCGAAAAGTAACGTTCACGAGACGGACAGACATCGCAGAGCTCGGCACTGACTCTTGGAACTACAGCTCCCACAATCCCCAGACTGCCCTTGCAACTTTTGGGACTACAGCTCCCAGAATCCCCAGAAAGAGGAGATGTTCCAGATTTTAAAAAACCTTTCAGGGCCACCGGATCAAAGTTACAGTATATCCTTCTTTGGATACCCCCCCCCACACACACACCCCATTCGAGGTAAATAGCAACAACCCCTCCCCCCAGACACACACACACACACACACACACACACCTGGGCCTGGGCTGAGGTAGCCAGATCCTCAGGGGCTTCCAAGGGAAGTGGAATAAAAGAGGAGCACCCAGGGCAGGACGCAATCTACCTCAGGAAAGAAAGCGGGATTGGGCTGAGAGAGGCTTCCTTGCTCAGTTTCCCGCCATCCGGCCATTAAGCCCAACGGGAGACCCACCGGCAGGAGACAAGCACAACTGCGCCACCTCCCTAGGCAAGGATCCACATGGAAGCACAGCCCCCCCCCCGGACGTGATGGACGACCATCGTGGGAAGCAGCCGTCGTTGATGGTTCCCCCACCATCCTCCATAAATTTCTCTCTCTCTTCTTTCAAGCTGCCCACCTTGTGGCAGTGAGTCCCGCAGCTTAATGAGGGAATTAGTACAACCTAAGGAGCATCTGAAAAGCTGTTGCAGGAAACAGAAGCTCAAAACTGCCGCCTGGGCAGAAAGACCCGTCCCCACCCGTTCTGAGGTCCCTCCGTTCCATTCAAAGAAAAGGCAGGAAACAAACAGTCAAAGGAAAGATCAACATCTACTTTTATTTTTTTTTACCATTAGCTTCCGCACACTCACAGCACGTGAGAAATCAGGCAGGCAAAAGGGCAGACACCCGTCCTGCTGCACACGGGTTTCTTCCCACCTCCAGACTGGGACCCCAGCAGGAAGAAGGCAGGACATCCTTTGTTCTCCCACTGGGGAGGCTGGCTTTTCAAGGCAGGCCACTCTGCCAAAGGAGCTTCCGCCCCCCCCCTCCGCAAGCCGCTCCCTCCAAGCATCCTTCAGAGGCAAGAGAGGGTGTTTGGAAGGAGGCAAAGGTGGACCGTTCGTTTTAGAGCAGAGGCAGAAAAGAGCACCCCCCCGCCCCGCCCTGCCCGGCTTCTGCACTGAGCAGAGTGGCCACGGGGAGGGCTAGGGGGCAAGGCTCCTTGGACCCACAGAGGATGCCTGCCAAGCAGCAGCTGAGCCCCCCGCCCGGCACCTCCGCCAGTGAATGGCCAGGAGGAGAGGCTGCTCAACCCCCCCCTCTCTGGTTTTTGCTTCGTTTTGATCTGGACAAAGGGTTCAAAGCCAGCTTGGGGAAGCGCCTCGTCCTAAGGAAGGTGCTTCCTGCGCTGGAGTCTCCAGCTGGGCCAGAGATGCTGCAGCTCTTGGAAGAAGGAGGTGCACGTTCTCACAGAGCTCAGAGGGGCGGCAGCGCTTTTTCCAAGAGGCTGACGGCGAGCAAAGCTAGAGGCCCAGCATCACCCCGTGTGGGCCGGGGCTCCTTTGCAGGCCCCTCGCTCTCCTCCCTCTGCCCACAGCAGTCTGGGCAGCACGCACCTCTTCCTACCACACACACACACACACACCCCAGCGGAGGCCTGTGCTGGTGGTGGTGGGGAGGACCCCAATTCTCTCAGGGCCCCCCCCCACAGCACTGGGAGATGCTCAGGGAAGACAGGAGCAGAGTCGTGTGGCTGGAGAGCCAAGGACTCTTTGCCACCACCCTCCAGGCCTCCTGCTGGTTCAGAGATGTCCCTCAACCGTATAAAACCATTCTCGGCAGAGTCCACCCGGTCCTCTTCAGGCACCTGGTGATCTCAGAAAGCTGGAAAGAGAGAAAGAGAGAGAGAAGGAAAGAAAGAAAGAGAGAAGGAAAGAAAGAAAAGTCTCCCAACCACATCCCTTCCAGGGACCCATGTGCCACCACAGTCCTCTTGCAGGCAGGAGCTGGGGGGGTGGGGGTGGGGGTGGGATCACATGATCCGGCACTGATCTCCTCCAGCGCTGGCAGCCTCGGGCAGGTTCAGTCCCTCAAGGTCGAAGTTCAGGCCCGGCGGCTGCAGGTGGGGGAGAGAGGGAGGGCTGTATTAGCTTGCAGGCAGGAAAAGAGCCCTCCTGCCCTGGGATTCTCCACTTCTGTCCCTTGCCTGCCAGGAACACCCTCTTGCCAAAC